TCTGTGCATCAAGTGATTTTAGAGCTTTTTGTACATGATTTTATCCAAACTGTTTGTTTGTTATTCCGCGGCTCTTTAAATATGGACTTGAATTGGTAGTTAAAAAAAATGGCACGTCTCGAAAAACCCGATAAATAAAAATGACATAAAATGATTTAGTTTTCTTACAAATTTGAATTTACATTGTCAATCATTTTGATAGATAGTCATATTTCTCATATAGACATTAACTGTTAACCAATTACAAGAACTGGTTAAAGATTGGCCCTTATTAAAAATCACTTCATTCCAATATTTTGGAAGAAATATTCCCATTTTCTTGTGTATTTATTTAAACTAAGAAATCATGGTTGTATTAAACTTTCTATGACATTAATTTATATTTATTAAATATATTTATTTATTTCATTTAGCGATTGACTGATGCGATTAATTTATATTTATTAAAATATTATTTATATGAACAAGGGAACTTTTTATTTCATTTAGCGATTGACTGATGCAGCTGAAAAAGAACCTCAGGAAATAATCGGGGTTGGCACAAAATATCCAACAAAGCCAGGAAATATAAGAATCTTTGAGAAATAAAAAGTGAGGCAGAAAAGGACTTGAGTTGACAGACATCAAACAGCTAAAGGTCAGCCCACAGACTATTGTTGGCAAACAATAGCAAAGAAAGACAGAAGTTACATAACAAAACCCTAAAAATATATCTGGAATTTACAAAATAATAAACTAAAGGCAAAAAAACAGTAAGAAGTTAAAAGATTATTGATATATACAATTGTATATAATTTAATAATAACTAATATATAATAATATATTATATTATTTATATATTGTAATATAAAATAATTTTATCTATATACATTTTTACATTTTGAAATGATCCTTTCCTCACCTGGGTTCTGTTGAAAGCCACGCGAGCAAACACCGCCTGAGAGATTCCCGCTCTCTTCAGCTCGTCTCTGACCCACTGGTAGATCTCGGAGGACACCTCTGTGTTGGAGGACACCTGCGGTTCCAGGGGTTTGTTGTGGGAGTTGCGGCTGACGGGCGGATGGTTAAGATACTGCTGCGACAGCGACTGCTGCGCCAGCAGCCGGTTGACTGCGTACTGCTGGTTGAGAATCTGAGCCATCACTAGCTGCTGGTTGACCAGCTGTGGGCTGATGGGCGTAGACACCAGGCCGGGGTGGTGCAGGCCAGGGAGCTGCGGCTGTCGACTTCCTGCCTGACCACCGTGCGTGGGAGGACCGTGGGGCAGAGGCGGCACTTGTGAGGAGGGGGTCTGCTCCGCCGTGCTGCCGGGAATGGGCTGCTGCTGCTGGGAGAAGCCCAGATGATTGTGGTTGTGATTGGAATTGGGTGGGGACAGGTCAGAGAGACCGTCGATGTCTGCTGAAGGACGAAAGAACAAACGAAGAGAAGGAAACCATTATTTTATAAAGAGCTTGAGTCGGGCAACAATCGAAAATCAGAAAATCCAATCAAACTAAGGGCTGAATCAGAAGTGAAAGACAGATATAAAAAAGACTGCCGGAAAAGGGCTTCGTTGTGTTTGACCTGCATCTGCCTGACTGAAAATTAGCTTCAGGACGTCGTGAAGTATCTCATGAGAAAACACAAGTCTTAGGAAAACATTGGTGGTTGTATAAGTTTGTTAAAAGTGTGGGAGTGTGTGTGTGTGTACACAGAAGCAGAACCAGTGCTGATAAATCGGATTCTCTCTTTATGTCCTTAATTCTAAAACTAGGAACACAAGTCCAACAATGCAGGGTCTAGGAAGGGGAAATAGAGAAAATCACATAACGTCCTCAATTCAAACACTTTCCAAATATAAGCTTATAAATTCCAAGCGTTCCAAGCCCTTCAGCGGGATTTTTGTTGTTTCAGAATCACAGTTTAACAAAGTGCAAACAAATTGTATGTCTTTTGTTTCATGATTTGCAAGTATCCAAAAGACAAACTAAATATCGCAGTTGTTTTTCAATTTTTGAGTTTATTTTAACAACAATTTGATCTATTTTATTTCTTCATCCAAAGTCAGACGATTATTTCCTCAATGATCATTTTCCAGCCCTTCGTTTTTAAGCACATTTCCGATAAATCCCAACACTTTCAGGTGTTTCAAACCCACCGGTACAGACACTGACATTATCACGGGTCTTTAACTCCTTTTAAGACAACTCTCTACAGTCTGCAATTTGAAAGATTTTTAAAAGTATTTAAAAGCTATTTATGGCCTCAAATGTTGTGGCAATCTCTAATTCCATAATGACTGCTGAGGAGCATTTGAAGAAAAGGTTTAAATGATGTGCTAAGAAGATGAAAACAATAATTTAACGTTAAGGGCACTGCTCACAATGAAGTGTACATTTCTCTTTTTGCGTGTGTGTTTAAGGGCGACGTTACAGTCAGTACGTGCCGCGGCCTCCACATCTGCAGGAAAGCTCCGTTAAAACACTGTGCAAAATAAGTAAGTAGTTGAAATAGTAATGCTGATGCGGATATGTTGTTCAATAAGATAATTCTTTTCAATAGATGACAGATCAGGAGCGTGGAAGCTTTCCAAATAAACAATAAATACGTAGATGTTGTTGTTTTTTGTTTTGTTTTTTTTCCTGACTGACATGACACTCAGCCAAAACGGTTCTTATTGAGTGTTTGTGGAAAACAAATGATGTGGGGTGGGAGTAGTGGAGGTGGTGTCAGAGGTGTGGGGGGACTGTGGGAAAAGAACAAAAAGAAAAAAAAAAATCTGGGTAATAATCACATCTCTCTTCCCATAATCCCTGGCATTCCCTGGCTCTGGCAGTCCTATGGCGTGTCTATTCATTCATATGTGAAAGTGTGCATAGACTGCTGGGGGGCATACACGCAAAACATACACACACACGCACGCATACACACACACACACACACACGCGCGGAGGCATTTCCATGCAAATTGAATAGAGAAGGGGTGACAGAAGAGAACATGGCAGGCCCTGGGAGAAAAACAGGGGGCTGCCACAGAAGTGGGAGTCCTCGTGTGGAATCCTGCCACAAAAGAGCCCCCCGGATTAAACACACAATGGCAATGGGATGTGGTGAGCAGAGGGAGGGAGTGAAGAGGGAATACGGGAATGAGAGACGTACAAAGTGACCTCACTCTCTCTCTCTCTCTCTTGTACTGTTATGTCAAAACACAGGGAGATGTGGCTGGCTGTGGCCTCAGATGCTGCAGCAGCAGCAGTGGCAGCAGTAGCAGCAGTAGCAGCAGCCTCAGTGTCAGCTGGCAGGGCAGCTGTAGAAGACACTGCCAGATACATGTGTGACCAGGTGCCTATGTCCTCTTGACGTAAGACTCCAAGTGCCTGCTGTGTCAAGAGGTCTGGGGAGTCAGTTCAACCCCAGTGCAGTACTGTTCTGCAGCGACTACTTGAAACTCATTCTTGTTGCAGAACGATTTATTTTTAGGAATCTAAAAGTTTTAAACAACGTTCTTAACATAACTGAACCTTCATTTGTTGTTTTTTTCAATTGCTTAAAACATATGTTTTGGGGCAACTCCCACGTTTATGATGCTGGTTCAGAAACAAAACATACTTAAAATAAGGTTTAACAGTTTGTAAAAAGTCTGAAATGACCAGATAGGACTCCATTGCAAACACATTTTTCTCCTGAAAAACCTTAGGCAGGGGTCTTAAACTCCTGGCCAGGGGGCCACATTCCAGCCACGACCAAATGTCTATAATGATTAAATATTGCTGTTTAGGAAATATTTTTAATATAAATTTCTTCTTTGAATGTGTGAAAATTTTGTGCATTCATTAAAATCTGATTTAGGAACGGGGGAAAAAATAATTGTTAGCATTTGTACAATTTAATTATACATTATTTATAGTGCTGAATAAAAATATATTTGTGTTTTTTTTTACACATTTTTTACCCTTGCTTTATTGAGCAGTGGACCTCAGCTCATTTGTGTTTAAGACCTGACCTAAGGTATTATTTAGCTAGGGTCTATCTGCTGCCACTGCCATCTTTTGCCCATCCATCACCCTCACTCAGTAAAGGGTGGAGAAGTTCTGAATGAGGAGATTGAGATTTGCTCATTTGGATACAATAAATGTGTGTGTGTGTGTGCATATTTGTGTGTATTTATATGTGTCTACGTAGCGACATACCTAGTGCATTGGAGCGTGGGCTCTCCCGCAGGACACACGTGCCAAGGTAGCCCTCCAGCTGGGATGTTTGGCGCATGCCTGCAGTATTTGGAATCACACAAAAAAAAAAACACAATCACACACAAACAGAAGGAAACACATAGGTAACGTTACAATGCAACAGATTTGTATCAGAATCATCATTGATCATTGTCACGAAGAACATGTGCTGTGGAATACATGGACTACATCTGTTTGAACTGAATACACAGTTGTACTGAAGTAATAATCTCTCACTTGTACGTATAAAAAAACCTCGTGATCTGAGATAAGATGTGATTAAAACATGCTGTTAGCATGGATACTATATATCTGTGTCATCGCTGCAGCGTCACGAAAAGTAAGAGAAAAAAAAAAGATTGTTCAACAGATTGTTAAAGATTTAATCTGGAAATCAAAGTTACCGGCTCGGTAACACTAAGGAATTGTTCTTAATCGAAATGCATCATCTATCAGGATTAGATCTTCAGCTGTGGTGAAGGCTGCTCCCTTCATATGACCTCATTTCCTGGCAGGTCAAAGGCACTGGTAATTTTTTTTTTTTTTTTTTAAGATAATATTGAGCATGTTTTGGTCAAGGATTTTTAAGGATGTAATTGAATTTCAGACAAGGCGGTGGACAACAAGATTAAATAGTCGCTTTTTGATCAGGGTTTTAAGCACTTTGCAAGCACTCACAACATTTTCCAGGATGAAGCTTTTTCTTTATTTTCTAGAAAAAAAAATCCTTATTTTGAAAACTTTGGTGTTGAATTTAAAAATGCTGGTTTCAAGATTTAAAAAAAGCTCTCATGATTTTGTTTTTACATTGGAAAACATGGACAAAATATTGAGAGTGAAAAAGCAGGCCGTATATATTGCAGACCATTAATAACTTGTGTCATCTGTCAAATGTGAAATATAAATGTCTGATATTCCAGAATGATAGAAATGTCTTAGTAACATGTATCACAGAGTCAAAAATGCGAGAACGTCTACTTCCAGCCTGGTTTAAGGACGACTTAATTCTAGCTTAGTTAATGCAACGCTGAATAAATCAGTGTAACTCTGAGCTCAATGGAGCGATGTGGAATTATTAGATAACTGGACAAAAATGTGTTTCTGCTTCACACAGCAGCCGTGGCTGCGGCAGCGGTGGAAAGACAAAAACGTTGGACAGTAAGGGAAAGAATTGTAGTGGTGACTGCTGTGTGTGTGTGTGTGACGTGCAGCCCTAAGTTTTGCTTACCCATCATATCTTTTGTCTTCTTGAAATGTTTATACCAGCGCCCGAATTCCTGACACTTTGCCGCCGACACATTTGCATAGTAAGTGCTGTTCACAATGGAGGAAATCATACTCTAAAAGAGAGAGAAAGGAGGGGGGGGGGGATGAAGAAAGGCAGAGAATTTAGATTCTAATTGTGTCAAAATGAAAACATTATATTAAAGCATGTGAAACCTGCAGTAAGACTGTAGCGCGTCAATACAAATAGGAGGCAGGGAGAACGTGAAATGTAGAAAAGCATCAGACCTGCGGAAATGTCCAATTCATTTCTTTTTGTTTAGATGAGACAATACTGAGGTCTGAAGATGGGAATATGTAAGAATTTGTCAGTATTGGGAAAGAAAATAAAAAGTGAAGGAATATCAACATCAGTTAAATTAGCTAATGGCCACAGACGAATCTCTATTAAAGCCCCATCTCTTTATGCACTCTGAAAGATGAAACGACAATAAGCAGTCAGATGAGGCCGGGCTCAGCGGAGATGTCATTGTCGGCTGTACGTCTGCTGCCCACCTCCATCCCAAGAGAAATGCAGCTGGAGTGTATTAGCAGCTACGAGGATTTCAAGGAGGTCGGAGAAAGCAAGGACTCATTAATAGGGACTCTCACTGAAATTGTCTACGATTATGTCATTTGAGGAGTTTTTGATGCAAAAAGCCAAAAACGGAGTTGTGGTATTACAGGTTAGACAAGACGTATCCATCAGGTAAAAGATTAATGTAAAGTGACAGGCTGCAGGGGCTCCATGTGAACGATCAATTGCTGTGTGAATTGAAGAGTAGGATGAGAAAAATAGCTACAATAGCAAAATTGGCAAATACACATGTTAGTTGAGTAAAGGCACACATTCAAAAGTAAAATATAAAGCAGACAGAGCAGAAACATTAGTATACATGCTAAAAATTAAAATAAAAAGTGATGAGCTAAAATAACATTCAGTTGTGTAAATTACCCAAAGAACCCAAAGCACCCAAGATGTGGTAGTGTATGCAAAAGCGTCATAAATAAATTAATAATAATAATAATAACATTAATAATAATAATAATAATAATAATACAAAATTTGCTGTTTTAATATTTGCCAAAAAATTTGGAAAAAGCCAGTGTTATGGAAGGTGAATAATCAAACACCAATGCAGCGATTTTTATGTTTTCCATTTACAGTAGAAAAAAAAAGGAAGAGAGAGGTGATTAAATATCAGCATCTGTGGAGTCGACTGATGCACAGACACAAATCTCGTTTATTTATTAACACAATCTGTTGAAGACTAAAGGACTGTGAGCAGATTGAGGCGGGTGTAATGTTCATCTGCTACCATCTTTACCTTCACACTCGACTTTTTGCCCTCTCTACTTTTACTTTAACCTTCCTCTTTTTGCCTCAGAAAAACACAGGATTTTTTTTTTTTTTTTTCTCAGCTTCCAGTTTCATTAAAATGAATGTTTTAACACCTCGGCGGCCTGGGGGCAAACAGTGAAGATGGTGCAGGAGAAATTGTTTTTGATTGTTATAAATATTCAAAAGAAGCATACCATCTGTTTTCAAATTACAGGTATGCCATCTTTATCATTTTCTATAATGTATGCACCAGGAGGAGGGCTGGGGAGCTCCTGGCTGAGCGGCACAACATCGTCTGCCGTGACAGTAGTGATGGTGGTACGGACGTTGAGACACTCTGGTTCCCTGACTGTTTTTCAGGGTCAGACTTTACCGCAGTTCAGGAGAAACTCTGGTTCTCTGACTGTTTTTCAGGGTCAGACTTTACTACTAAGTTTGGTGCAATAAAAAAATGCTAAAGTAAGTTTGGAAAAAGGAAATTGTCAACAATGTATCTAAAAGGTAAAAGAAAGTACAATTATCTTTTAAAATGTAGGTCAGAAATGATTTAGGTTAAAAAATGACGCCAAACAGAAGTGAAGCTAAAATGTAGCCTAGAAATAGAAATACAAGTTTAAAGTCAGCTTCAAATAGCACATTAGTTTATTACGAGATAAAAAATAGAGCTCAATGTTAAAAAGATTTAAGATTTAATTTAATATGCTAAAATAAATAAAACAGCCAACATGTAGAAATGGCAAAATGTGTCATAAATTAAAGCCCACTTTCGCCAACTTCTCTGATTTTTCTTTGAGCCACAAGCTCGTCATAAACTTTTTCCAATGGTACATTTGTTAATTTGGCAAACGTTTTTATCCAAATTAACTTACAAGGGGAGCATAAAGTTCATGGCTTCACTGGGGCTCAAACGCACAACCTTCTGCGTGTAAAGCAACAACCACTAGTAGACCAAGAAAACTCCAAAAATAGTAAGGCACTGGCATAGAGCGTGTCAACATTGCTCACTGCTTTGTCATCAGTCCAGTCTCTCACAGCTTTACACCAACTGCTCGGTCCAACTTACACACAGCAAACACAGGTTGTCAGAAATGCCGGCTGTGTTACCTCACTGTACAGGCATTACAGGGGAAACAAAAGTGCTTGCGTAATAATGTTGATAAGTAGTGGCTCTTTGTTTCCCTGTCAGTTTGACTGATTTAACAAAAGGACTCCAGCTACAACCACTAATCACTGCAGACGTCAGCCGACCCGCCCGCACCAGGTAGAGTCTGTTTGGCTACTTTCTTTTTGTCACGCTAATTCTTTTTTTTTTTTTTTCTGAATAGTCACAGGGAGCAGAGAGCAGGAGTCACACTGGCGGCTGGGCTCGGTGGGTGCCAACTACACTGTGGTGCATCACGCTGGAAGGGTGGGAAAACAAATAGAAGCAGTGCAAGCAGACATGCAAAACAGTCATTTCCAGGTTGATAATTAGGAGCTGGAGCCAGGCTTTCACTGAAATCCTATAGATTTCTTCTTTTTTTTTCAAGCAATCCAATATTTTGAGGCTTACGCAAACACAACTATGCTGCACGAAGTTAACACAATGAAGAATTGTGAACACTGTCATTTTACTGACTGTGTGAACACGCCAGCAGCGCTGTATGTAGGGCAGGGGTCACCAACTCTGGGTCGGAATTTTATCTGGACAGACACCTTGGGAGCCGGACACTCAAATCAAATCAGTTGGTTTAATAGTGGAGAACACACAATATTTTCTCCTTGATCCCCACAATTTTGGAATCTAGTCACGGGCCAGACTGGACAGTGTGGCCAGTGACCAGTTGATAATCACTGGCCTAGTGTACTAATAACACACGCCATCTCGCAGGTGACCTAGCCCATAATATTCCAGCCCTGGCTTGTGTCCAGGCATCATACAAAGAGCGCCAGGACAGTACAGAATACGTTGTACAGATAACTTTAGGCCCAAAAAGGTCTCCTAAAAAGGTGGGCATATTCAGTAGGTCCTACTCCTCAGACAACAGCCACAGGGCCATGAATGAATAATGAATGCAGTGTTTCTATTTATTTCTGGAACATCTGCTGTGTAAAGGTTTGTTGTTGGCTGCAGGTACCTGGAGTTATTTAATGAATAGATCAGGCCCTAAAAGAGTCTGAAGAACTTAGCCACGGTCCGAACAGATCAAACTAATAAACTCTTCGGGCAAGGACTAAAGAAATACTCCGGTGGAGAACTGGCAATATTTTAAGTCAGCCAAGTTCAACTATGTTTTCATGGTACCTGTGTTTACTGACGCATGATTCATGGCATTAAATGAAATGCACATCATGTGTTCAGATATTAAACTATTTCATTTGACACATGCTGCCTGCAGTTCAAGTTCACTGCCACAGTTCAAGTCTGGGAAAAAGAGAATTAAACCTCGATTCGATCTGTTAATGTCACCTTTTGGATTAACGTGGATACAAAGAAACAAGTGCAACCAGGATCAACTCCTGCTTGTGCCTCTGCGTGTGCAAGAGCCACTGCACGTCAGAAAAGGGTGGTTTTACTATTGATTTACAGCCTTGAAGGGGGAGAAAAATATTTGTGAATATTTGGGATGACTATTGGTAAAGCAGCAAACCACACATTCCTGTTTAACTGGGTTGGAAGAAGCCAACTCCCGAAACAAAAATCCATCTGACGACCATATATTAACACGCAGAGAATTCCCCCTCTTTAAGTAGAGGAGGATAATGAACTCCTCTCCTCCTGCCTCCTGTCTTCTTTTATTTACAGTATATCTAGGCTAAAGCAGCTCCAGGCAACAAACAGAACAAGCTCTACCTCTTTTTTTCCCTCTTTCTTCTCCTATCTTACCCTCCTTATCTCCCTCGCTCCCCTCTTCCTCCGCCATCTTTGACACAGATGTTCTAATAAACGCTCCTCATTAATCAGCGCTCTCCCTCAATACATCACTCTACCTCTCACAGGGGGCCGCCATGCGTGTATGTGTGAAATAAGGAGCCCGCGCACACCCATACACACATTCGCATGCACGGACACACACACACACACACACACACACGTACCCTCTCACCCCCCCTCATTCCTTGCCTGCCTCTTCCCTCTCACCCCCCCCTCATTCCTTGCCTGCCTCTTCCCAGTGCTCTGTCACACACACATGCATCGGCACTAAGTGAAATCAAGCAAATAAGCAGAGGCTCTGCTGCCATTACAGTGCCAGCCGCAGGACTCTGTGTGTGTCTGTGTGTGTCTGTGTGTGTGTGTGTCTGTGTGTGTGTCAACAGGTAGCATGGCTCTGAGACTGTGTACCTGCACGTGCAGACGCATGTGGGTGTGCACGTGTGTGGAGCCTTTAAGTGATAGCCATCTGCAGCACTGGGAGCTTATCAGCAGGACCAGGAAGTGGCACTGGGTAACTATCAGTGCCCAACATCTTCTCTACAAACCATCACAAGACAGGAAGAGAGAACGGCTGTGTGTGAGTGTGGTTGTGTGTACAGAAGAAAGGTTACTGTAGCCACTGCACATGGTACACCACGTACAGGCCCCCCTGCAGTTCCACACAGATTGCACACTTACACACAACAACCATATTCCAACTTGTCTTGAATCAGCTGTGGATTTTGCAATCCCTTTTCCTTGCATTTTAGCAGCGATCACCTATTACACACACACACACACACACACTCCCACACGCCCACACTCGGGCAGACAGGTTGAGAGCAGAGTTGGTGGAAAGGCCTGAGAAGATGGCACTTTGCTGACGATTTTGCTGCTACGCAACACAGCAGCGAGTGAAGGATGCCCAGGAGGGGGGGATGCCCAGTGAGAGAGAGGTGATGATGGAGCTGGATGGGGCGAGGGTGGTGCTGTTGAAGGTGGTAGGGAGAACACCGTGTGTTGCCATAGTTTCGCCAAAGCTGGGCAAAAGGGAGGTTACTAAGCTTGGTTGCAGGCGCAGCATTTGTAACCTATCAAATACTATTTGAGTGGCTGACTGATGGTGAGAGGAAAGGGTCTGGTGGGCAGGTAATTTTTACGTTTTTTTTTTTTTTCTCCTAATATTTGAGTTGAATCTGTGAGAAGCTTTTAGCCTTTTGTATTGGAATTAACGTAGCTGTACTTTTAGATGCTCCGTACTGGTCGCCTTTATTACCATTTAGTTTTTTTATAGCGAGACATATAACAGAAAGGTGTAATAGAGAACAACCGTAGTTGTAAAATTTGGACAGAATTGGACATTTGAATTTGAGTATAAAAAATGGGACATTAAAAGCCAAATATTCAGTGCCTCATTTCTCAGCTTCGATCTGGGTGATCCTGGTTTTCGTTGGTTACAACTGTCAGTTAAAAAGTCAGCCTTCGTGTGTAGGAAATTCTGCTCCAATCAAACAACAATAGGCACGGGTGGAAACTTTCTCCTCTGAGTTTCTTTGTGCAAACCGCAGGCCAAATACGACAAAGGAATGAAACTAAATGTTTGAAAAGGCACCAGACAAAAGCGGCATTTCACCAAAAACACCCCCTCCTCGCGTCTGTGTTCAGAGGTGGGCTAATTCTCTTTTACTCCCTCACTGTAATTCTCTCTCATCCGTTTCACCTCTCTCTTTTCGGATCGGGATTATGCCGCGGAATATCAGCAAAACACTAATCCGGAATATAAAGGTGCCAAACTAGGGACTCGCTATGGTGACGCCCCCTTTCTCTGCCCACTGCTTTTACTTTTGTGGCGCCTGAGAGGAACTCAGTGAGTTTGGTCAAACACTGCTCTGAATCTCACCTCCACCTCCTCAGACTAAAGGCGAAGATGGAAGGAGCAGAGCGACACAGGGAGAACCCCTTAAATATGGCAGGGAGACCCAGGAGCCAGTTGGATTTTAGAGGAATAAATCTCCACGGCGGGGGTGTAGCAGGACACGCAGCATCACACTGAGGAACAGATGTCAAGCGCCATTACGGTGGCCATGTCTGAACAGGACAGGCACAGATAGATATGTGGAATACAGATATGTGGAATCAATCTGGATAGCAAGTGGCAACAGGGAGCAGAGCTGCCCAGTTAGCACACTAAATGTAGATGAAAAAAAAGAAGATATTTTGATTGAAAATATATCTAAATATCCACTGTAAAAATACTATTTTTGGGATTTAACTTTTGCCTAAATTATAGTCAAAAACGTTGTCAAAATACTACCTGTACTACAGTGTGACATACTGTAGCTAGAACTTAGCAAAACCATATCAATGTCAAAGAAACTCCAGAGGTTGTCTGGGTAATAGATTAAATACTGTAGCAAGAAGATATCTAAAAAAATGTATTTAAATGTTATTTACAACATTTAATAAAAATTACCCAAAATGCCCCTGAAACATACTTTACAGGGGCAACAAAAGCCTCTAATAAAAAAGCTAATCTCATAACCTTGTGTGTACGTGAGAATAAAGTGTCTGTGGGTGAGATGGATAACTGTGTGTGTGTGTGTGTGTGTGTGTCTGTGTGTAAGTGTGTACTCGCTCTCTTCTGAGCCGTCTTCACATATGGACCGTAAACAGGGTGATTACCAGACCGGGCTGAGCTCTGCCTGAATGCCATCCTGGGACTCTTTACATCATCAGTGCGCTGCTCATGCCCGGCTAAACACACAAACACACACACACACACACGCAAGCAGACTGTACAGATACATACACCCACACAGACACACACAGAAGCTGCAAATGAGGGTCTCCGGGTGACCATGCGGTGGCCTAGAAGGAGTTCTGGCTCCTACGCACATGTTTCAAACTAAACACACACGAAGACACATGTATACGTGGGTTTGATATACGGTGAAGAAAAATCACACACACACTTACTCAGACATACAGACATTATTGGCCCCGGTGAGCGATATACTGCCGTTTCATTCCATTCACTCCAGAGCTGCCTGTGTGATTTACTGACTGCACCTCCTACTAATACAATATCCAAGCTACTGCTGCTGCTTCCACACAACCTCCCTGGAAGCACAAACCTCATAATATATAACAGCTAACCATGTGAGTGAGCCTGTCTCCCACCTGATGTCAAGATTTGGTGAGTGTAACATAAAAACACCTAAATTTAGACAATGATATTTAACATAGACTCGTAGTATCAGCGTCAAATTATTCAAATATATAAGACCAAAAAAAAGCTAGAATCCGTTTAAAAAAAAACAGCGGAGGGTTAAAAGCAGACCAGAATAAGACAAGAAAAAAGTAAGGATTGCAATATAGAAAAATAATTAAAGATTACCCCACAACTGCAGTAAATGTGGCAGGCCTAGATGTTTTTATATGAAGTCAAACACACAAAAGCTACGAAAACAAATATTATATGAAATATATCAAATATTATTTATATTTGACTAGAAATTCAAATCAAAGTAGGCTGAAATATATATAGAAAGTTGTTTAAAATGTCCTGAGAAATAAAAAAAAACTGAAACATTCCAAAGAAATATTAGTAACACATGAGCCCTGGTATATCACTAAAAAAGACCAAACTGTTACAAAAGTAATAAACATTTGAACAATCTACCTGGAAAGATATAATTTATCCAAAGCTGCAAAATCCCATAATAAAACATACAACACTAAGTATTTTTCTGTTTGCGATAGATTTGGATATTCTGTCCTAATTTTTGTTTGTTTGATTTGGAATAAGCAGACTGGTCTTCAGCACCTGTGATAAGGGACATTCTTTAGCCAGAGAGCTCTGATTCATGTCTTTGAGTAACTCCTTGAGGGCGTTTCTTACTGTAGAGTGGCTCCACTGCTCGGGTGGAAGGTCCTCCAGCTTAGGACAACTGTGGAGACACACACAGACAGAGGCCGAGACGGAGAGAGGGTCAGTGAAGGAAATAGAAAAGAAAGAGCAAAGACTTGAGAAACAACAGTTTAACTGCAAATGGAGAAAACAGTCAAACCTGTTGTTGACAATAATACCAGAAAATCACATTGTTGATATATATTTAGTATGTATTTAATATTTCAGCTTTTTGTAAAATTACTTGTATACACCTTTTTTATTACCTTGGCACTTTGGGAATACTTTCGAGCTATTAAGGCTAACATGAGTTTTGTCCATGCTAATCTTTACCTATTTTTGAACCTAACCAGTTCAATGTGTATCTTCAGTTATGTGTGTTGACTGCTAGTTGGAACTAAAATATATATATTTATGCTAAATATGTACTAAGTGAAGTTATCTTTTGCCTACCTTTTAGTTGATTTTAGGCTAGCATTGTTAGCTATTTCTTTTTTCTTACATATATACATATAGAATATATATATATATATATTTATATAAATGTATTAGCTGGTATAGTATTTATTAGCCTTTTGTTCATCATTTCTTTATGTCATCTCTAGCAGCCACGTTGCTATTTCTAGCGAGCATCAATGTTTTCTGCTGGTATTCAGCAAGAACCTCTGCCACACCTTTGTTTTTTCATCAAATAATTGTTCTTAAAATGATGACACAAAATGAAGGTACATTTTAGAACAATTTAGCGTCGCTCAGAACAAAGGCGTAAATGGGTTGTCGTGTTGTTTAAAGTATGTATTGATTAATTAGCTAAATTAGCAACTAATGATCTGATCAGGTAGAGCGGCACCCATAGAAGAAAAGAAAGAGAAAGAGAAACAAGGAGAGAAGATGAACACACATGGTGTCTCGCTCTTGTTGTTTTTTTTTTTTTTTGTTTTTTTGTTTTTTCCGCTGCAAGCTTCCCTTCAAGACAGACAGATTTCATTTGGTGCATCAAGCAGATGCATCTGGAGATTGCACTTTCTCTCTCCGTTTCTCTCTCTCACTCCCACTTATTCTTATTCTCTCTTTCTACCATTCGTCCTTCATCTCTCTTTCTCTCTCTCTCTCTCTCTCTCTCTCCTGATGTTTCTGATTAGTTAATTACTTTATACAACACATCTGCTGGATTGATGCATGAATTATACATTAGATGCATGTGGCGACTATTATTTTGTGTGTTACTTCTACCTTCCTGCCTCCTTCTGCATGGAAAAAAACAATTTAAGGGGTTAGCGGCTGGATTTCTGTTGGGAGGCCGGGTTTTGGTGATGTGGAAAGAAATGGTAAAAAGATGCTGTTATCTGCCATTCTTGCCAGATAAAACAGTGAGTGGCCACTGCCGCCTGATTCTTCTCTTTATAGTGTGCCAGGTGTTCAGTAGGAGCCGTAACTGGACCACAGACCGTCCAATCAACAAAGACAATGTTTTTAAATGTTTTGACCAGAAGACCATCTTGCGAAATTTTAATTACCAGCCTCTGCATCCCTCATACCTTCACAATTATAAAGGTACATTTTATGAAAACATTATGTTAGGTTTAAGCGCCGTAGGAATTCAGGGTTGCAGAATCAGATTTTTGTGTTACTGGCTTCGGATTTTATAGAGGAGAGAGAGAGATGAGAAATCAAGCACTAGGTGGAAGAGTGCCCACTGTATGTGCACGTGTCGTACACGTGCACTACCATAAATCTGTCAGCTGTTGTGGTGAAAAACATTATGAGCAAGGAGAGAAGGTGGATAAGAAAAAAGGGATGTGCATAACTTTCCAGGGTAACATCTGCTTGTTGGAAAATGCACAAGCATCCGCACGCACACACACACACACACACACACATATATACAATACACAAAAACAATGTATTTTCCAGAACACCCTAAACTGCTCCAGCAACCAGAAAACCTCTAGGGAGAAGGTTTTGAGTTGAGTGGAGGAATAGAGGGAAAGACAGGAGTGGAGGGAGGCAGAAAGAGAGAAAAAGAAGGTTTGTAGGACATAAGGAGCTGCGTACACCTGTTAGTGACTGATATCAGCTGGTCTTCCTGGGGTTTAGGACCAGGGTGAACTTGGTAATGAAGTGAGTCCGAGCAGAAAGACAACATTACCAGCAGTGACAGAGTTGCACTGGATGCTGTGCTGCGTGTTTTTCTTTTGTCAACTGAAGTAAAAAGATTGTATTTGAACAAAGGAAGATAAGAATAGAAATGCATTCACAGTTTCAGAACTTCTGTTTGTTTAGTGCCCCATAAGTCCATCAGGATCTACCAGTACAACACAGAGGGAGCGCTGATAGATCATGAGCCACTAAAATAAAAAAATATAAATATGAATGTAATTCTTCCCCAACATATAAATATAACGTATGTTCTGTTTACATGAGTTAATATATATTTAATGTAGGTAGATCACTTTAGCCTAGAGCTTCCAGGCCAAAACAATTGTGTGGAATGCTCTGGATTAACTGTATTTTAGTCACACGGACAAGAGCAGACAGAATCTTTGGGTCGTTGATCAATCATCCAGGTTTCGGTTGGCTAATTCTGTCAGACAATTTGGTTAAAAAAACAATAATGCTTCTTTGGCTCTCTGTTGCAATCACACAAGGCCAATCCTGCTTTTAAGTTTTGATATTGTAAAATGGGGGTAAATCATTTTATCTATGCACTGCAGGGTACTTTGACTTTATCGAATATGTTGATAAAAACCCAGAATAACATTTATCTATTTGCTTTATTCTGGTTTCAGTAAGATGGCATGTAGACAGATAGATGTAGTGAAGAATAAGGGCCATTACACGCTTTCAGGGCCAGTGTTCAAGAAATAAACACAACCTTTTGTGTTCTAGGTGGTGGATGCATCAATGAGTGTTTGTGTGTGTGTGTGTGTGTGTGTCCGTGTCTAGTGGAGAAGAAAGACTGAGAAAGGGAGAGGTAGAAGGGGTAGAGAGAGGTAGGAAAAGAGTAGGAACAGCTCTCCAGAGGGTTTGCAGAACACTGGGTTTATCGTGCATCTGGCAGACACACACACACACACACACACACACACACAGACATTAAGCTTCTGAGTGTGTCCACATCTATAAATGCTGGTGTGCTCTCTCACAGTGTGTATAAATACAGCGCAGGCTCACACCTACAGAGCAGCAGTTAGCAACAATATGTCCACTGATGGCAGGAGACCGTTAAGTGACGCTTACTGAGCAAAACACTGACTTTTACTTTCTTCTTTCTTTTTCTTTATTTTTCTTAACATATCATCGTCATAAAAATAGCACACTGAAAATAGCCACTGCAGTCCACTGCAGTTTATTTATACTAGTATTTTTGGGGAAAATTACCTCATACTCATGTTGGTTCAGAGTCAATTTTAGCAGCGACCTGCACCACTTTCCATTTTTCATGAAAAAATAGAACACAGTTATTGTATATTAACGCTCATGTTTTATAAACCTAAGAGCCGAATCATTAGTTGTTGTTTTGTTGTTTTTCTATGTTAAATAATTTTCCTCAGGTCCTCTGGTTAGGTGTCCAACAACATTATGTCTAGGTTGTAATATCTTTGGTCATTCATTTTGGATCATTGTGAGCTATTTTTCATTGGTGTTTGTGTATGTTCTTTGTTACTTTACCTCAAACTTGTTTTGTTTTTTTTTACTGAAATTGAGGAGATTTTAATAATTTTAGCAACTTTATTTGTTGTTTTGTGCTAAAAAGACAAACGATATATATATATATATATATGATTTTTTTTTTTTTTATTCGCTTAAAGCTGTAGTTTGGTTTCGGTTTTGAGACTTTGTCTCACCTGTGCAGCTGGATCTTGAGCGTGACCACGTGGTAGACGTCCTGCAGCATGTCCGCCACTGTGGCGTCTGGAGCATCTGTAACGTACGACAGGGGGACAGGGTTCCACTTCCCCACCTGAATCATGCCTGGAACAAGCACAGAACAAATAACAAACATTAACAGTGATAGATTTATTAAGGCACAAGGTCCCAACAACACAGACTTGAACGCAGCATTAAAATGATGACGAATCAAGCCTCATGTATTTGTCTGTTGAAGAATGATCTCATCTGATGGACTTCATTTCAACGTTGAGACTTCTCCTGAGAATATACCTTAAATAAGCCGCGGCCCACACAGCAGGAAGTGTGAAGGAATATTGCTCATGGGAGGAGCCAAACAGGATGTGTGTTTGTGTGTGTGTGCGCACGCTCATGTGTGAGTGTATATTGGAGTGTGATGGGCAGGCTATAATAAAAAGCATGCTAAGAGGCACCTAGAAACAGCCACCCTCGGCCTGTGTGTGCTCAAGTGCAATTAGCCGACCCTTTCCTCCAACGACCCCACCCACCTACTGAGTCACAGAGTGGATCTGTGTATAAATATATACAGAGTGTGTGTGTATCTGTGTGTGTTTTCCACCTGCTGAGGATGTGAGTGCACATGGATGGAAGCACTTGAGTGAATAAGCTTCTGTGGGAATGTGTGTGTTTTCTCTAGGATCAGTGTCAGGTTGTGTTACTGCAGCTTTAGATCTCCTCCCTGTACCATCTCACGGTCACAGGCCGCGTGTGTGTGACTGAACGTGTGTGAGAACAACGGCTACGGCAAGAAAAGCTTAAAAGAGTGGAGTCTGATTGGTATTTGCCCATGTGTACTTGACCAGAAGAGGAAAAGAATGCAGCCAGACACTGTAAGTTTGTGAGGGTGCCCACTTCCAGCCTCGAGTTATCGTTACGACATCTGCTGCTGAAAGATTTACTGTCTGTCAGGATCTAATAGAGCTGAGATTAATGTGCATTAGAGAGAAAAAATGGAGATAATAAAGATGGTGGTTTACCTTTGGCCTGGGCCGCTGAGCTGTGAGAGTAGCCCAGAGACAGCAGGGCCATTTCTATCAGCTGGTTGAAGAGCATGTCCTTACGCACCAGCACAAACTCAGCATGCTCCTCCTTGCTGTCAAAGTCCAGGGGGTTCTCGTAGTGCTCCACCACACAGAACACTGGCAGCATGTTACCTGAGGTCAGTAGGACACAAATGTTAGTGGAGAAGTCGAAATACACTCAATACATTTTTATTCACATCTGTGGTGTGAAATATTGTGCGTCTGTGCAAAGACATAAGGTTAAGAATACGTTTGGATGCTTAAGTTACGGGGAGGTTATGAGGTTTTTAAAGCAAATTCAGTCTTTTTACATTTTGGAGTTGACACCACAGTCTCTCATTAAAACAAGGAATAAAACTCTGTCGGTGCAGGAAAAAAGTGTTGAGTCACATCTCGGGACATTTAGGTGTAATTTGTGACAAATTTTAAAAATTTTAAATCACAACAACTTAATAATGAAGAACATGGGTGTGACTCTTACTGCAAATGACAAATTTTAACAACTTAATAATGAAGGACATGGGTGTGACTCTTACTGCAAATGATCTATGCTGTTCTTCGCATTTTTTTTCGCAACTTCTTTCAGTACTGTAGCTTCTCTAGAATAGAATATTGTGAGATGGTATTTTGTGTCCAAGTACATATAGATGTGGTTCATGATGTGGAACTTCATGTTTTGACTCTACTGTGTCTGCTGTGGGGTGAAGTGAGCCATCCTGGTTCACAGACGGCAAACGTGCAAATATCAAGCGATTTACAGTTTTTAGCTGAAAAATGCGTCCATGAAAGTCTACACAAATGAGCATAACTTGCCACATTAGAAACTCAGCTCAGCTCAGCCCTTCAACCACAGGAAACATAACCCTGATTTAATCTTCCGTGTAAAAAATATACATTCACACGTCCTAACATTTTCCAACTCCAGAATTCTGGAATATACAGACAGCTCAGCAAAACAATCAATTAGCCAACAGATGCCAGGGAATGTGCTGAAAGTGCTGCTTTTCCCCTCCCCTAGTTTTAATAGATAAAGATCTAACAATAAAGACTGCTGTGTAGGTTCATTTGGGGGATCAATACCGGCTTTGTTTGCGTGGAGCCCAGAGAGGGCTGCTGTAAATATTGTTTCGGGCCCAGACACAATGACCACTGTGGGCCCTGACCGAGGAAAAAAAAAAAAAACAACTTGAACCGCCCACTTCCATCAAGAGCTTTACCCTTTACCCAGGAAGAAACTTGAAATTGCAAAAAAAGTGATAGGGAGACGGGAGCACCAACATGGTAGGAGGCCAAGAAAAGCTGAGATGATGAAGGTGAAAAATTAGGTTCTCTCAGCTGGAATGCAACACCTAGATTAAAGACGCAAATAATAGGAAAAAACCCATCTGAGGACACTGGCCCAGCCACATTCCAAGAGTTCCTCAGTCCCTCTGGCCCAGAGAAACTCAAGCAGCCAAAAATAAAAAACACAAACAGTCAAGCCTTACTGCTTTAACGGCTCCAAAACCTGCAGGTTTTCATACATTTTTCCAAACACGCACTCACACGACTGCAACGCTGTTTAGGTTGTAAACAGCCCATCTTTTTCAACAGACGCACCAGTTATATTAAAAAGCTATGTCATAATCTCAAAGTAAAGACTCCCTCTGAACTGCAATGGCTCTTAAAGGACACAAACTTTCCCTTCGCAAACAAATGCTGCTGCACAGGAGGTTCTGCAGTTACAGCAGTGACACAGCACAACAACAGCAGCAGCGATGGCAGAAACACTGGAACCATTCTCACAGTCATTCTGTTAGCTATTGTCTGGGCAAATTACTGGGAGTGTGTGCGTCTGTTTGTGTGTGTGAGTGTGTTCACACACTAGGAGAGAATCACTGCAGGATGTTTTAATGTCATGTCATGTCATGTAGGTACTAGTTGAAGGAATTGTGGACAGAAGCAGGAACATGTGTGTGTATTTTTCCTGCAGGATTCATAAACTAAAAGAAACCACATGATTGGTTGTTATCCCCTTAATGGATATTTCAGCTTAGGTATTGGACTAGGGACAAAGTACAGTACTAGAAACTGTGAGGGGACAAAATAAAAGATGATAAAGGTTTGACACTGACTGGTTTACTGCGGCACTGTGTTACGATTGACTGATTATAATCATCTTCAAACAGAAAGTTTTGCTCTTTTCTTTAAATGACAGACTTTTTTAGAATTTATAGACCTCAGGGGTCATAAAGTGACCGAAGTTGAGTATTTACGTGATCACTACTGCAAGGTAAAAATTCATTTTTTGTGTCAAATTTAAACATCCGAGCTTCCTCTTACCTCTCTTGTGGCAGGACTTCAGTAGGTGGCTGGTGGGTTTGTACGGAACTCCAGCAAGTTTTGCTCCTGTGCTGCCCAGCCTCACTCGGCTAAGGGGGCTGCCATTCTGCTCCAGCCGGGGCAGCTTGGCCGGTGGGGCCTTGGCTTCGGCCAAACTGTTGACCAGGTCAGAGTTTTCTTTGCCTAAACAGGCCTCGCTGAGATGTTCCATCATTCTCAGCACCTCAGCTCACTATCACCTGCAGAAGAGAGCAAACGACAGAAGAACACAAGTTCATTCAGTGGCAAAAAAAAGTGCAAATGTGGCAAGAAAAGAAGCCCAACAGCTGTTTGTGTTGATATCCCTGACATGTGAAGACATATGGGGACATTTTTACAGAGCAAAAAAATAGAAAGTGCTTTAAGTAATTGAGACCTTTGAGAACAGACCCATTACAGTAGTAGCTGTCAATTCGCCTCTGTAATGACAACTCCAGGGCCACAGTGACGTTTCCGTGCCACTGTAATGTTCCCATTTTTCAGTGCATGTATTATGAATGGGTGTCCCGCCAGAGACTCCCTTCCAAGGCAAGGGAAGGGAGCAAAACAAGAAGGTTTTTTTTATAGAGAATGTGTTTATTTGCCTGGAAATTCCGGTCGAATGAATGCAGTGCAGTTCAAGGAGAAAGTTGTGCCGCAGTACATCTATAGATAAGTGGTTGAGGGTTACCAGAGATCAACTCCTGTGGGTTTACATTCACAAAGTAGCCCGAGAAAAAAGGTCACCAACTGGTGTTACTGTGACCAAAACTGCACGATGTTTAGTCTTTATTTTTTGATGAGGAGTGTCATGTGGTGCGAAACATTAGAAGGCACCTCGGGCAAATGGAAGAAATGTCTGAAATTCACCATCAGATTGACAGCATTTGAAAAACATACATATTCCTCACTACTAAAAGGAGAAATTGAGCAGCTAGATATCACATGACACAATACAAATCCTGAATGTTACTGCTCTGTTGCATACCACAATATGATAGGGATCCTCTCATTTTGACTTCCCCGTGTTGCATTTCAAGTTAGAAGCAGGAAGTGGCTGGACGACCTGCAGATACTGCATGTACCACTGATGTACATACAGTACAGTATGTACAGTGCAGTATGTACTGTATGTACAACTGATGCTAAGGCTGATATTTAAATTTTACAGAGACACACACTCCTGACTTGGTCTTCACTGTTGAATTTTACAACAAAAACTTTCAGCAGTATAATAGCAGCAATGATATTCTGTACAAAAACAAGTGCTGCTTATATAGAGTGTGTTCGACTGGCTGGTCTTCCTGCAGCCCCAATTGGTTCGATGAAATTAAAATGTTTGGGACAGGACTGTAAAGAAGTATCACATTTGTATACAGGACAAGTTTTTGCTTTGAATTGTCTGATAAAATTTCTAAAAATAAAACAAAGGGTTATGATGATGTTAAAATTGACTCCAATCCTTCCATAACCACGCTAGCACAGACACTACCCAACAATAACTAAAGATTTTCAGACAAGTTCAAAATTTGGAGGACTTTGTTTTACTGTAGTCCACAGAAAAAAAAATTAAAAGCCACTGACTGATGCTGATGGTGACCTTAATCACAGTACTTAAACCTGCATGAGTAAACTTTTTACATGCAGACACTGGGATTATTCAACATTTGACTCAGAGGAGAAGTGTTACTTTGTAAAACACTATTAGAAAAGAAAATACCACAGAAGATGTACAAGAAAGAAACAAAATGAAAACGTAAAAAAAAAGTTCACAAACTCCTTCAGTCATAACATCCAATGAGGCAAATAATCCCCCTACAGATTCAGGGGTGAAGGAATCCAGAACCGGATACAGACCTGATCCAGGTCAGGATTTTTTAATGACCCTCTGAAGTGACCCTCCACAGACACACATGTTATACAAAAGCCAAAGTCCAAACAGACACTCTGAGTGACCCTGAAGGAGAGCGAGAGTCAAAAGAGGACACGAGAAAATGCACCACTACATCACTAAGTTCAATTGAACCTTGGATACTTTTAAACTGTTCAAGGACATTTAGCTAACACATAAATTTATGCTATGTGGCTAATTTTAACGTGGTTAACATTTACTAATTTTTCCTTATCTTTGATCATTTCTGTGCCGTGAATTTATTCCCTATTTTTTCGTAATTCATAGATATTTTTTAGCTTTTCCAGGCCAACTTTAAGTTATCTTGACTTTCAATAAACTTCCTGGCTATGTTAGCTTTTTGCTAAAGCCTAGGTAGTTACTAATAGACTATATTGTTGTATTTTTGGTCTTTTTTATTCTACTTACACATCATATTTAGCCCTTTTATCAAGTATTTAGAAACATTTCACAATAAGAACTAAATTGGGACTCTTTCACCATATTTATAAAAAGTTTTTGTTTTTGGGCTAAACTTTCCATCTTTTTATATATTAACTGACTTTAAGTAATGTTTGTTTAACTACATTAAACTTGCAATACTGATCTAATAAAACAGTTTCTAAATTTCAGTTATTGTAGTCTTTTTTTTTTTTCTAGTTTAAAGTTGTTCCTTTACACATCGCATCTGCCAACTTGTGTTTTTTATGTTTGTTAACTTTTCGACATAGTTTTACTCCTTTGGAACAGTTTCTGGACTAATCTTAAGTTATCGTTTTTTAATAACTTTTTGCTATCACTGTAACGCTAACAAATACACATATAAACATAGTCGGTCCTTAAAATGGGTGCACTGACTGACCATAAAGTTGGAAGTCAAAGGAGGACACGTGAATAGAAGAAGAAATCAGATTCTCTGAAATTCCCAACTCACCTTAAACGCACCACTTCAGCACTGGAGAGCATAGGCTAAAAACGTGTCTTCTTCAAGTTTAACACCAGGAGGAAAATAGAAAAATACATTTAAAAAAGAAAATAAAAATTAAAACAGGGATCGCTGACGCCTTACGTGTGCATGACAACGAAAAAAACTTATAAAAGAAGCTTCCTCCTGGAGGCAGCGTCGGGTGAAAACAACAGCCCGGCTGAAGCGGCGGCAGCGACAGACGCGGCGGAGGATAGCAGGTCGAGATGGACGGTGACAGGCGAACATTGGTGTGCCAGCCGTTCAACCTGTGTGTACGTGCGTGTGTGTATGTTTTGGTGGTGTCCGGGAATGTTAGCTAATTCCGTCCAACAGGACAGCGCAGAAGCAGAGAGGCAGCGGACGGCAGAGCCGGCGACATTTAGCCCCAGCGAAGTGAGCGGTCTTCGGTGACTGCTGCTGCTGCCGCCGCCGCGGCCAAGCGAAGGCGACCTGCGCGCCGGGCTCGCCGCACGACGCGGCGGAGGATAGCAGGTCGAGATGGACGGTGACAGGCGAACATTGGTGTGCCAGCCGTTCAACCTGTGTGTACGTGCGTGTGTGTATGTTTTGGTGGTGTCCGGGAATGTTAGCTAATTCCGTCCAACAGGACAGCGCAGAAGCAGAGAGGCAGCGGACGGCAGAGCCGGCGACATTTAGCCCCAGCGAAGTGAGCGGTCTTCGGTGACTGCTGCTGCTGCTGCTGCCGCCGCCGCGGACAAGCGAAGGCGACCTGTGCGCTGAGTTCGCCGCACGACATCCACACACAACAGACGCCGGCGAACGTCAACACACAGAAAGAAGCACACGCGTACGTGTACACACACGAGTGCACTACAGTTCTAATAACAACAAGGAACCCCAGCCAATATAAACCAATATGCTGTGTTCAGAGAGGTGGAAGAAAATAGTGCCAAAACGTCGCCGGAGCTGCCGAACACAGAGGTGAAAAATACCAAAAAATTAATAGAAGATATAATAAAAACAACAGCGGCGACAGCAATGTAAACAAAACGGTTAGAGTCGCGATGAAGAGCTCCGTAAAATTAAACAAAAGAAGAATGGTAAAAATGGAGGGTCAAAAAGTGCGGTTTACTTTCCGATGTCGAGCAGCAATGAAGCTTCGCTGTGGACGCAGAGAGAGGGAGCGAGAGAGAGAGAGAGCAGCCTCCTGCTGCTGCTGTGATAGTAAAGGGGGAGGAGGAGGTGTCCTGGCGTCCGGACCAGCTCTTCTCCTCTCTTCTATCTCTCCCCCTCTCCCTCTGTGTCCCCATTAAATTATTAGTTGTATTGACTCATCACTCCCCCTCTCTCTTTCCTCCTTACTGCTGCTGCTGTTGCTCCTTGCCTATTTCTAATGGAGAGAAAAAATACATAATAAATGCTGGTCTGATAATAAAAAAACAAGAAAGCAAAGTATGTGAGAGAAATAAAAAAAAAAAATCTGCAGTCGGTAATCATTGGAAATGTTTGTGCGTTCTACATTGCAAAATATGTTTAAGAAAACATGTTTTTGTTGTATTTTGGGGGCTTTTGGGCTAACTTAAAATAATGATGTCTACGATTTTTATTTTGTTGTTTTGTTTGACTTTCAGGTTACTTCAATTGCTCATCTTAAGTAACTTTGAACTTAACCTTTACAGTTAAGTTTGACCTGTTCATTAAATTGATTTAGTCTTTAACTTTAACTTTTAATCAAATGTAAAGAATTAGGTGAGCTTTAGCTCATTAGGAGAATCACCATTTTGTGATGTTTTGTCAACTCGCACATCTCATTCACCAAGCTTCCTGTTGTGAGTTAAAGTATGCTCTCATCTATCTCTTAGAAAACGTAAAATTGACATTTATTGACGTTTGTTTGACAAAATTTAAGCCGTTAGCTGAGGTCGTCCAAAGCACGTATTGACAGAGGATTTCATCATTAAAATGTTGTCCCTAATCTTCTGTTTTCTCTTAGGTTATAATTGGCTTTAGGTCAAAATGTTTGGATCTTGTGGCCTTAAATAAAGTTAACAGGAAATTAATCTTCACGTTTACATAACAGAAACCCCAATCTTCTGTCACCCTTGGAGTCTTTTACCTGATTTCCTTGTGGTCACTATAGTTTTAGAGCCCTTACTGATTATGCTAGAGAGAATAAAAACACTTCATAAAGCACTTTTTTTTTACCAATTTGGCTAAAATTTTCTACATAGAAGAAACCCTGTGGGCATGTTTTGTGCATGTGTGTATGTGCGTGTCTCCACTTTCTCTACTTTATTCTCCCTGTTTTATTTTTTATTTCTATGGTTTCAGCTTATTAGCATCTCTGTCTTTCTCTGTGTCTCTCTGTCTGTCTATCTGTCTCTCTGTCTCTCTGTCTCTGTCTTCCTCTCTCTTACACACACACATACATAGGCAAAGACCAGAGAAATGAGTATAGTGTAGTTGTGATTTCCGGCTGAGCACGAAGGAATTTTTAATCAGCTTGATTAGAGTGAGGCGGTCCTCTTGCATTTATTATGGGCCAACACAGATGCTCTTACACACACACACACACAAAGAGGTATTGTATATTTTGTTTGCAAGGCTGGTCGTGGTATTACTACATGACAAAGTGATACAAAAGTGTGTCTGATGAAAACTGCTGATCGTGAGCAATGAGGGTTTTATTCTTCACAGGTCCCTGACTGTTATGTCAAACATGTGGACTAATAATAATGGTCATGGTGCTCTGTTGATATTCAACCAAGAACAAAAGGATGTTCGAGGCTTGAAATATACATGATCCCTGCAAAAGCTCTCTGGTGAATGTCTTGGGTTGAAATATTAATATTTAGGGATGGTTTCCATGAACCTTTTTTTGTCCTCTGAGGGTTTGTCCCTCTGTGGCAAACCGAGTGGAAAAAAAAAGTTGGGCAAGCTCCTCTTTGTTGACATTGTCAATAAAGTATTGAGACGCTGTTGGTTGCTGACCTTTGGGCGTCCAAATAAGGTTTAAGTCTGTGAACAAGGGCCAGGCTAATATAGACACACAAACACAGACACAGACCAAACAGAAAACACACACTTACACATGTCTGACCCACAAATACACTCGATCAAATACAGACCAAAGACAAACATTGGCAGCTCAAGAAATTCTACTGGGTGCAACGACCAGAGCTGGATTTGAAATGACTAAAAGTGTGAGTAGCTACACCTCTGGAAGACTATTTAAATTTAGTTTGTAAAAATGTCGAGAAACAACAACAACAACAGAAACAGACAACAATAAGATTTAAAAGAAAATCATACGACCAGATATATATAAATAAAACCTGCAGGGTTATAGCATGTAGTTTAACCAAAAGTAATCAATGTTGTTTGCAAATGTTTGTTAACCCTCATTCAAAGACAAAAGAAATCACAAAGTGACAAGACAGCCTTTGCCAAAAATGAAGTTAGGCTACAAAACGGATTAGAGCGTGTGGTCTACACACAACTTTCACTATTACACAATGTAAAAGAAGAGTAAACGTGGGGCAGAGGTGAAGGGTGGATTTAAGGAAACAAGATGCTGACATGCTGCATCCTTGTTGCATTCAACCAAAAAATCCAAAACCGAGAAATATGTATTTGTAGTAAAAAAAAAACAAATCTTTTAAATGTCAGGCCAGACTTTGAACTGCACAAAAACAGGAAACAAAGACAAAACAGGAAGTGTGTAGATATTCAGTGATGACAGAGACTGAGGTTTGAGCCATGCATGGACGTCGGGCGGTTTTATATGCTATACCAAAACAGTTTGTTGCATTTCGGATACACACCACATATTTACCATTTTTGTCAACAAAGCATAAACCTCATCAGCTCAGCAACAGTGAGCAGTGAGAGGGAAAAATATTCACAGCAGGACCGCAAGAAACCGCAAGAGACGAGACGATACAGTTGCTCAGTCTTTTATTCTTCCCCTGCTTCTGAAACCGAATGATTGTTTATCCACCACCTACCTATGTGGGGTCAAAAGTTGCTCACTTTGCTCAACACACTCCCGCATTAGTGCAGCAAAGAGGCTGAAGCAGCTCAGAGCTGAGATGGAACAACATAGCGTCTGAACCAGGTTTACGTCGGGTGTGTAAAGTAACATTCAAATATGACTTTTTATTTACCAGGTTATGACCAACAGAAAACTGAAGGATCCCTGCGTTCGTTGATTTATTGGTTACAGATTTGTATCAGGATTGAGCATAAAAGGAGCATTCACCACAGAGTTAGACTTTAAATGAATTACATTTGTCAGACAATTACGATTCGTAATGTAATTTATCGCGTAGCTGCGGAAGCTAATTAGGGATGATTAATCAAAATTAATCCAAATTCATCAATAGTCCTAAATATGACCAAAACCTTCCTGTTTGTCGCAGGAAGAGAAGTATAAATAACAACGGGGAAGACGTTTGTGTTTCACACCTGTTATTATTTGTGACTAATTCAAATGACGAAATAATAAACAAGGGAAAATGTCAAGAGAATTTGGCTTAAGTATAACTTCAGATTTAGCTGCTGGAGTGTGTTGGTGGATTTTAACAGTAACAGGTAGAGAGTTGCGTCAGTCGTCGGCTACGTTCAGTGATGCTGGTCTGACCAGCGGTTCACGTCTCCACAGACACACGCTGGGTGGAGACACGGTGTTTTAAGATCGAGATGCTTTGTGAAAGAAAAACGTTTTTCCAGCAGTCTGTGCAAATAACAAGCAGCGATAACTGGATGGACGGTGGGAATTATGGGATACTCAGTGCTTGTCATTCTGCCCGTGCTTTGAAATATGTTAAAATTTTCATCTAGTCACAAATTAATACCTCGTTAATTTTGACAGCCCTGAAATGGATAATAAATAAATACTAGCTTCAGAGTGGACGAGCCGGAGAAGGTTTTGCTCTAACCGCTAATCTGTATATGCCAAACGGGAAACAAAAGATTTTTTCGTTGTAACTGTCGACGCATGACCCCCAAGATGATGGAATTCGAAATGTTGCTGCGCAGAATCAGTGACCTATTCTATCCTGATCCGTTCTCTGGACGCTGGCCAGAGAGTGTCCAACACAGTGAACCAGATCAGAAGTCACAGCTGCAGTGAGCAGTGC